GGGGGGGGGGGGGTGTCCTCATGGTCTCCTGGATGCAAGTGGGCAGGACAAACTGGAAGGAGCAGGGCACAGCCACCTGCATCTGATCACAGGGCCAAACTCAAGATACTTCTAAAATTGCCAAATAAATAGCATCTTAAACAAATTATATGTAAATAATGGGAAGGAAAATGATTTTCCCTCAGGCTGGGCATTATTGAGTATTTGGGACAGACTTTGAAGAAGCTCCATCTGGCCTATCCTTCTACACTGTTCTACACATTCAGAAAACTTGCACCTGGGTACAAATTTGTTCTTGCAAACTAATTGCATCCAAAGTCAGCTAATTGGAGGGGCAAGGATCCAACTCTGCCTCCCATTAGGCAACTGCTGCTGTAATTCCTTTACCAAGAACAATGATCATTTTTAGATAGCACTAACAGTCTTCCAGGTAGGTTATAGGCCCTGTGTAGCTGCTCTTCCCAACAGCCTTGCACAGGGTGCCCATTTTCCAGATCAGATGGAGAGTCAAGCAGAGAGCAAGTGCAGCTAATGCAGAGGCCTTTGGCTTAAGGACTCAAAGGGACCACCAAGTCTTTGCAGGAAGTCTGCTGGGTGACCTTTTTCCTCACTTGGGAAAACCTCCCCAGAACTGAGCTCAGCTGTTCCCACTCCTGAACAGTCTTGAGTATTCTCAAGGGACACTGGTCACTGCAGTTCTGAATTCAAAAACAGCTTGCTCATGTACCATGTGATAACTGAGTCATCCCTTCTGTGCTTGTCTTTGCAATTAGACTATGAACTTACACAGGGAAGCAATGCTTTCTCAAAACTGCCTGAAGGAGAGAAAAACAAACTCAGCCCTGCCCAGGAAGGCTATGGGTATTTAATGCTGGCCCCTTTGACTGAGCAGATGGAACAGCTGAGGAGGATGCCCCAGGCTGCTTTGGGATCTGATGAAAACATGGGACATCCTAAAGGATGGCCTCCTTCCAGGAGGGACAGGAGCCCCCACCCTATCAGTGCAGAGCCAGGAGTGACTGCACCTCCCAGAAGGCCTCCTGGCTGCCTCTGGTAATATGAGGTTTCTGATCAAAGTGGTTTGATAATGCATTTTCTACAAGATCGGTTGGCATTTTTAAGAGTCCTCTCCTGACTCACAGCATCAGAGGTGACCCAGTGGCCAAGCCAGTAGGCTGTCTCCCCACCACCTTCAAACAACGCCATGCTGGCCTCAGGCCAAAGCCAGTGACCTCCTAGAGTACTCTGCATGGTCTCCTCTCTGCCCAGCTGTTCTCTGGTGTCACAGTCACCTCCAGGTGGACTCCCCATCACCATGAAAACTCTCTGCATTTAACCCCCACGCCTCAGCTGGCTGCCCATTTCATACAAGGTAAATCCAAAGCCTAGCCCTGGCATTCAAGACTGTGACCACATCGCCTATCTCTGCCACACATCCCCTGAGATCAGCCTCCTCCACGGTGCACCAGAGGAAAAAGCAGACATTTGCTCAGCCAGATGAGCGCTTCCTTGCCCCTGTGTTCAGGGACAGTGCAGGGGGTGACAGTGGATGAGGGCTAGGACATATCCCATGGGGTCCTCGGGAGACCCGGGCTGTCTCTAAGACTTAAGAATCTGTATACAATGGGATACGACTGGGCTGTCCAGTGGTAGGAAACTGGATACACTTGGAAAATACAATGTTGAGCCATATAAATCAGACACACAAACTTGAATGCCACATGGTACCTCTCATCTGAGTAAGGCAAAGTACAAACTAAGAGAAAAATAAAGGAAAGATAGAAGGAGACAAGGGAATGGATCTCTTGCACATGGGAAGGGGCCCAGGGGACCAAGGGCAAGGGGCAAGGGGGAAGGGATGGGGAAAGAGGTAGGATGATGATGTGCCATGTCCAAGGTCCTAATGACCCTGATGAACATGGACATTATATGCCATAAGCATGAATTAAGATGAATAACATCAACAAGACTGAAAAGTGGGACAGGAGAATTAGAGGAAAAGGGAGGGAGAAGAGAAAGAAAAGAAGCAAGTTATACTACATACATGTACCAACTTCCCAGGATGAGTGTAACATGCATGCACTGCAAACATGTATTAAGAAAAGAAAAAAAGAATCATTCGGTGAGTATGTTCCTAAGAATATGCTTAATTGAAAGCCACGTGTGTTAAAAAGAAATTTTCCTACCCTTGTGTGTTGTTGGTAGGATGCAAATGGGTGCCATGGAAATACCCTTTTATGCAATAATTACGTCTTCCCACAAGAATGGAAGGCTTGGAATGGAAGAGACATTTGCACACCCATGTTCATGGGAGCAGGGCTCACAATAGCCAAGAGGTAGAAGCAACCCAAATGTCATCAGCTGATGGATGGGTTAGCACAACATGGTTTACAGATACAATGGAATATTATTCAGCTTTAAAAAGGAAAGAAGTTCTGAGCCATGCTGCAACATGGAAGAAATCTGAGGAAGTTCCATGAAATAAACCAGTTACCATGGCACAGATACTGTAGGGTTTCACTTAGAAGTGGTGGCCAGGATCCGGGGAAGGGAGCATGGGAAGTTAATATTTGCTGGTACTGACTTTCAGTGTGGGATGATGAAAACATTCCAAAGATGGATGGAGATGGCCACACACAGTGTGCTTAAAATAAATTAAACAATACATGGTATATGTATTTTACCACAATTTAAACAGATGTTTAAGAGGTAGAATCAGAAGTATTTGGGCCCACAGATTTTGGTGTGGCCATTAAAGCTCATTTCCCCATTACACTTAGATTTTGGGAGGGGAAAGAGGTGTCTTACACCGACTCTTATCCCCAGTAACTAATGCCCTGCTCAGGGCAGTGTTACCACTCCTTCCTCATGTGGCACAGGATTGACTGATTTGTGGAAGAGCTCACTTGAAGAAGACAGCGATCACACACAGCCCTCTGGGCAGAAAAGTCAAGTAAGGTTCAGCCCAAGATACAGCCACTGCACTGGAGAAAGGCAGACAGCACTTTAAGAGTTGGGGAGGGTTTGAACAATGATTTTGGCCATTACTGGGAAAAGGAGAATGTTAGAGGGTCTAAGGAAAGGGAAGTCTGAATAAAGTCCCCTGAACACTGGTGTGGTAGAAATAACAGGGGACAAGTCTGAGAAGGGCACTTTGGTCCAGCATTTTCTTTAAGATTTCAAAGACAGAATAATCTTGGGTCAAGACAAGGACTTAGATTGACCCCAGGAAATGATAACTTATGTGGGGGCAGAGGTGAAAACAATCACTGTTGAGTACAAGGTGAAGGAATAGATAGGCCAGAGACTTGGGTGGGAGTGGAATAGATAGCCACAGGGATGCTAAAAGGGCTCAAGGTGACTGGTGGTAGGGCAGTAGACTTTGAGTCAGCTGGGAAAATAATCAAAGAAAAACCCAAGGAAAGCATCTGCTGAGGGAAAACTTACTAATTTCAATCCCTGAATTCCAAAGAAAAATGGAATGTACTCAACATAGGTTTGTCTACACCCAAGTTGTCCAATATGGTAGCCACAAATTCTAATTTGAACTAGTTATCACCAAATGAAATTAAAAAGGTTCATCATTCCAAACGCCAAAGAGCCACCCACCTATGCCTTGTAGCTACCATATTGGGCAGCCCCATTCTAGAACATTCTGTGACTGCAGAAGATGCTATGGGAAAGCACCACTCTAGATAGGCTTAGAGAGAGAAGAACGAGAAGCTATTCCCGGCTTTCTCAGTGGTTCCTCCGCAGACTTACCACTCCTCAAGGAGGCTTGTCAGTAAATGGCTGATCACAACAAAGCTTCCAGAGCTTCCCTCATGGTGGGGGTGGGGGTGGGGGTGGGGGGGTGACCACAGCCGGCCAGGGACAAACTGTGGTCTCTGTGAAGTCCCTGCTAGAAGGACTCGTGGAAGCAGAAGGGCTCTAGACCTCCTCTGGGTCAAAGTGGGAACATGGTTGGGCCTCATCCACCAACCGACCCCTGCAGCTTGGAGTGGGTGCCTTGGTCACTTTCCTCCTTGGTTTCTTTCCTCCTTCCTTCCTCCTTTCGTCCATTGGGACGAAATTCCCAATGTCCACAACTTCAAGGAGAGGTTTACCTTGGCTCGCTGCGTGGTCAGCTGGCTCCGGGGCAGAAGCGGCGCGGTGGAAGCGTCGGTGGAGGAAAAGGGCTCACTTCAGGGCAGCGGGACCGGAAGCAGAGTGAGAAGGGCGGAGCCGGGAAGGGAGGTGGATCCTTGCTTCCGAGTCCGCCCCCGGACCTGGGTCGTCCAGCCAGGCCCCACCTCCCAGTCAGCCTGGAAACAACCTCCACGTGCAGTGCCGTTTGGCTCAGGTAGCAAGAGTAGGAGGCTGGGTGTGTTACAGCAGTTTAGGGCTGTGACAGTTCCACCTTACAGGACACAGCTCCAGCCACCGTAGCCAGCAAGCATCTGCACTGATATAAAACTAGTGCTTGGACTGGTTTTAAACTGCTTTAGAAGCATTTTGGTGACATTTCTGTGGCAATTTTTCTCCTGAAAGTTACTAGGTGTGAAGCCTCCCCCACCTCTCTCTGCCTCCCTTCCCCAGGCTCCTCCCGGCCTCCAATCGCCTTGAAAGGCGTGACCACTGAGTCCTGTCCGTGCCTCTGGAGTGCAGTTGGCGCGCGCGGTTGATTCTATCACCAAAACGTATCTGCAACTTGGCACTATTTATTCATGCCCAAAAAAGCAATGTAAAAGTAGATTTTTCTCTCTGCTTATGGAAATTACTTTAAGAATAGCTAAGTGACTAAGCACGGAAACTTACCTTGAGCCAAACTAATGAGCTGACCAGCAGGAAGATGGGGACCCAGAACTTTGGAACTTGAAGGGAGCCGGAATGTCATAAGCTAAGACTCCCCAGTGGGGTCCTGAGGCCTGAGGAGCTTGGCCAGAGGGAGGAGATAATGCCAGAACTGGGACCGCCTTCCACCCCTGCCCTGTCACAGTGAGCGGGGACACTTCCGGGGCTACCAGGGGCACTGAGGGTTTGCATATTTCTTTTCACAACTTAGTTTTAAATTGAAATTTAAAGTTTTACAATAAACCATCAAGTACCCTCCTGCTTTCATTCTTTGAATGTAAATGGTAATTACCAACGTTTAGAAGCATCCTCTTTTCTAAGTGTGCACATGCTGTGTGCGTGTGTGCGTGCATCTATGTGCATGTGTGTGCGTGTGCGTATGTGTGTCCTTTCAAACTAACCAAAGCTCATGCCTGTGGCCCAGTAGCACTTCGCCCTTCCCTGCTCTAACAGGTGACAGAGGTCACTCCTTCCTACTTGTTGGGCTCTCTGCCAAGCCCTTACCTTGAGCGACCTCAGTGGACAACACAATCTGAGATAGCTACTGCTGTTACTTCCATGTTGCGACAAAACTGAAGTTTGGAGACGACGTGTCCATGTGCCCCAGGACCCCTCGCATGCAAGTGGCAGAGCTGATACTTGATCTTGCTCTTCCAAATTTGAGCCCAAGCTCTGAATCACCACCATTTAGTGACTGTTGGTCCTAGGACATCACTCACTGGAATATTTCTAGGATGTCCTGGAATATTAATGCAAATCCTTCTGTTCAGGAGTTCCATACTCCTAGGTCTGAAAAACTTCCTTTAAATGCTTCCAAATATAATTCACAAGCTCTGTCCCCACAGTTGGGGCCCTTTCTTCCTGCTCCTTAGCTCCATCCAGAGCCCTGCTTCCTGTTTCTGGAATTGTCCAAGTAATCAAATTAGATCATCATTGGAACCCACTGCCTGGCTCAGAACCAGCTGCCTTGCCAGCCTGCAAATTGGGATGATGGCACAGCCACTGACCAGAGGCTCCCACATGCCAGGCTTCCTCTGCTGGCACTGCTTGAACCTCACAGTGACTAGGAACTTTTCAGAATGCCACCCTTCAACCAGGAGGCCTGCTGAGCAAATACGGCCCCGGTTTATGGCCACCAGGAATGCACCTTCAAGAATTAATTTGGAGAAGCTTCCTCCCGCTTTGTTCTCTATTCCTCAGGCTCAACCCCAAATATAACCACCAGTGCTCACCAGTTGGCTTTTGACAGAACTGGTTTGGCACGGTCCTCAGAAGCATGAAGGTTATTCACTTAATCATTACATGGCTGTACTCAACCAAAGACAGCTATTGCTCTGAACACCTTCATTACTACAGGGAAACAACCTTTCCACAACACATCCAGAGACACGCTAAATATAGCTCCTCCCTAGCCCTGGGAGCCCTCTGCCCTTCCACCTCGGGGCAACTGCATAACAATAAGAATGTTCCCCAACAACTCTGTATTTCAGGTTATAAAAATGCAAAATAAATTACTCTCTAGGGATCTTACAAAGCTCTTTTGAATAGATCCACCCTATAAGACCTTCATTTATTGACTCAGTTGGTAACCTGTTGTTGAGTCAGGCTGTCTGTGTGTGTGTGTGTGTGTGTGTGTACACAACCAAACGTACATTCTCTCACACACAAGTTGCTCCAGTTTGTCCTTAAAGAGATGAGCATTTGGGAAGGAGGACAGACAAGTATCTGACAGCACAGTGGCAGGAGCAAGTAATGTGGACACAGAGGAGGGACCCTGAATTCAAGCCAGAACCAGCTTCCCAGAATTGTGCTATGGACTGAAGATCTGCAGCCCCCTAAAATCCACGTTGAAATCCTAACCCTCCAGGTGATGGTCCTAGGAGGGGCCTTTGGTAGGTGATTAAAGTCATGAGATGGAGCCCTCGTGATGGGGATCAGGGCCCTTACCAGAGGGGCCCCACTGAGCTCTGCTCTGCTGCCCTTTCCACCATGTGAGGAAGACAGTGGCAGCCTGCCGGACTGATACCCAGAAGGCAGGCTGTCAGCCTCCTCGGCTGCTATTTACGAGCCATTCAGTACATGGTACCTGGCTACCGTAGCCTGAACTGAGGCAGGAGGAAATACCTGATTGTCCCTCCTCCAGCTAAAGCAGAGAAGAAAGTTAACTCAAAATTACTTCAATAAATGAATGAATGAATCCACAGAGGAATGATGTGATAGATTTACACTGACATTCGCAGCAAGAGGATTTTCCCGAAACATGTCAAAAATAAACACATCCAGACTCTAATAAAAATGGTAAGGACAGATTTTAATCATTTATAAACAATTGCAATAAGGAAAAAAGTCGATATGATCAGAATTCAAGGGCAACTGGACATTTCAAAGGAAGGAGAACATATGGAGGGGCTTGGGTGCTTGTGCAGTAGAGTTAGGGAAAGGTAAAAAAATGACAAAAAGTGGGCAGACACTTGGTGCACGTGAAAGTCATCGAATTGCTGGCTAGCACTCATGGAAGTTCGACTTTTACTCTTCCACAGAGGCTGGGAGAAAGGGAACCCATCTTCCTATGTTGGTTGAAATAACAGTAGATTCTTTGAGAAGTCAGGAGTTTTTCACACTGGCACTCTGAGAGGGGCCTAGAGATGTAGGCTTGAGGTGTCAGAAACAAAGACACTAATGACTTGATCAAGGCTTTATAGACCAAGATGGAGGCCAGATGGAGAGGGCTCAGAGGAGCCTGGCTCGGTTTGCTGCAGGAGGGACTCTGTGTTGGGGACCATGAGATGTAGAAAGTCCCACGGCCTCGAGGCAGACCTCTGGGCTGTTCAGGAAGACTGATTTATCCAAAGCAGGGAATGAGCTGGGTAGAGGGGTGTGGGAGGAGGCTGGATATGTCTCTATGGGTACAGGGCATGGGGAGCCAACGGGAATGAGGATTCACTCCTGGACGTGATGATGAGATGAAGGCACAGACCAGAGGCCCAGTCAGTGGCTCATGACTCAGCAACATGGTTGTGGTGGTGATGGGCGGGTGGTGAGGAGGAGATCAGCATGCCAAGACTGAGGGAATTCTAAGAGAAACAAGGCGGGTCTGAATTAAGACCACTAGGTGGACAGGTGGAGGCCGTGTTGGGTTTTTAAGCATGGTTTTAAGGAATTGTTGACATGGATGGGAATGGTGAGTGAGAGCTGAGTCTGAGTAACTCCCAGTCTCGGGGCCAGTTGGCTGGATGCACGGATGACAGTGCCTTCCTTAAAACACAGAACCAGCCCAGTCTGGAAGGGGATGAGCGGAGTCTGGACCTGCCCAGCCTGCAGCTCCTGCTGGAAACATCTCGCCCACAGAGACAGCAGAGACAGGGGGCTGTGTGGTCTCAGGATAGGGCTGGGACCCATAAACCTCTCTGTCCCAGTTTTTTGACATCCTAGAACTTAAACACTTCCAAAGCATGTGTCTTCCAGGGACACTATCTTGATCTCGGTGAGAATTTAAAGCTTCTGGTAAAGACAAATTCATTTCCAAATTCTGGACTGTGGGACCCTCCTGTCTCTCTCTCTCTCTCTCTGATATCCTAGCCACAGTCCACCATTTCCTCACATGGACTTGCCTCGTGATCATTATTTCCATCCCAACTGCCTGTTGTCTCTCATGCTTTTATTTATCAAGGACAAGCTTACAACCATAATTCTCAGGGTGACGACACAGGCTACTGCTTTATATAAATGGGGAATGGAGCACTTTGCAAATGTCCTTGGAACTAACGGAGACTCTTCTGCAAGCTCTGAAATGCTCTACAGTCTTGGAAGACCTAGAAGGAAACTACAGTGACCCCGCTCTGGGGTCCCCAGACAACAGCCGCAGAGGTTGCCTCATGACATAACGCAAAGCACATAATTATCATTTGAATTTGGATATTTCCTGTGCACTAAGCCAAAGGAAGACACAAATCTCATCAATGTAAGCTTGCATATACATATATAACAATAATAATTGTCTTTAAACATCATGGATGTCAAAGAACATCTTCCATTCATGGCAGCAGACAGTATGGCTGTCGGGATCAGTGTGACAACCATGCAGAAGCATCCTGGGCTCTGTGAGCACTCACTGAGGCTTCTGTGGGTCTCCTAAGTTTGTATTAAACTGTGCAGGACCCAGGCCATTCAGCAGTTTAAAAGAAAAGGCACTAGAACCGAAATGAAGCCACAGAAAATTTCAGCTCTACCGATTTCTTAGTAAGCACTGCTGGTCGTTCACTTCCTGAACTTCTTCCTGGCAGAAATGAGCTTGGCAATTAATACTAGCTTCCCGGTGTTGTTCTGAGCCTACAGAAATGTCCAGCA